AGGATGTATAGAAAATATGGGGTGCATATAGAAAATGTAAGGTGTATATTGAGAATGTGAAGTGTGAGGGTATTATGGGGAAGTATGTGAGGTGTATTAAGATAATTTTTCATTGAAAAGCCAAATGCGAGGTGTATTAAGTATGTGTGGTTTATTCAATAATTTGTGGAATGTTAATATAATAAGCCTATTTTAAAGACTATTTTAGGGTTAATTTTTCTAATTATGCAGATTTATATTTTATCATCCTTCACATTATTACTTCTAGGTCAAATTTAGCATTATTTTTTTAGCCCGATTCCTTTAGCCTTTTTGTGACATCCCACATCGCCCAGGGGAGTGATCCTTATATGTATATTCTCATATCTACCTAGCACGAGGCCTTTTGGGAGCTCACTGGCTTCGGGTTCTATGGGAACTCCGAAGTTAAGCGAGTAGCGTGCGAGAGCATTCCCAAGATGGGTGACCCATCGGGAAGTTCTCGTGTGAGTTCCCAGAAACAAAACCGTGAGGGCGTGGTCAGGGCCCAAAGCGGACAATATCGTGCAACGGTGGTGGAGCGAGCCCGGGAAGTGACCCGCCCCGGGCCGGGATGTCACAATTTGGTATCAGAGCCTAACCCTGGTCGCGAGTGTGCCGATGAGGACGTCGGGCCCCTAAGCGGGGTGGATTGTGACATCCCACATCGCCCAGGGGAGTGATCCTTAAATGTATATTCCCATCCCTACCTAGCACGAGGCCTTTTGGGAGTTCACTGGCTTCGAGTTTCGTAGGAACTCCGAAGTTAAGCGAGAAGGGGGCTAGAGCAATCCCATGATGGGTGACCCACTGGGAAGTTGCTCGTGAGTTCCCAAAAACAAAACCGTGAGGGAATGGTAAGCCCAAAGCGGACAATATCGTGTTACGGTAGTGGAGCAGGCCCGGGAAGTGGTCCGCCCCGAGCCGGGTGTGACAATTTGGTATCAGAGCCTAACCCTGGCCGTGATGTGCCAATGAGGACGTCGGGCCCCTAAGGAGGGTGGATTGTGACATCCCACATCGCCTAGGGGAGTGATCCTTATATGTATATTCCCATCTCTACTTAGCACGAGGCCTTTTGGGAGCTCACTGGCTTCGGGTTCCATGGGAACTCCGAAGTTAAGCGAGTAGCGCGCGAGAGCACTCCCAGGATGGGTGACCCATCGGGAAGTTCTCGTGTGAGTTCCCAAAAACAAAACCGTGAGGACGTGGTCGGGGCCCAAAGCGGACAATATTGTGCTACGGTGGTGGAGCGGGCCCGGGAAGTGGTCCCTCCCGGGCCGGGATGTGACAATTTTGGTTGGAAACTAATTTTATCAATTTAGAGCTAAATATGCCTCATGGTATGTGTGGGCTAACGAGAAAAGATATGATTAAGAATAAGGATATATAAGGTAAAGTAGAAAATTGATTAAGATGGTTTGGACATGTAAATCGAAAACCTACAAGTGCTCCGATTAGAAAATGAGACTATGGAATTGAGGCTTAGGGCAAAAGGGATAGAATAAGGCCTAGGAAGACTTTGAAAAAGACTAAAAGAAAATGCATAGAGTACTACTTGGATTTCACGGAAGACTTTGCGCAAAACCAAATATAGTTGTGTTCTAAGATTTATATAATTGACTTTATTTAGTGAGATAAGGCTTGATTATTATTGTTATTATTGTTAAATTTAAATATGACCTCGCGTTACATTCATTGAAACGAAAATAATCTCGATTCATTCAAAAATTTAAATTATTTAAATTCATGTCTCAGCATTTTCCAGATCTTAATAGAGACTACAAACATGCTAAATCATATATCATATATATTATAATGAATTAATCAATAAATGATATCAACCAATAGTACTTGAACACAACTACCAACCACAAATCTTGGTGCAGCAACTATGGCTTTTGCAAATCTTTATTTTCTCGAGCTTGAAGATCTCAACATCTGAATAGTATATTTTGGAGTGATCGAATTCTTATAGAAGCTTAATGAGTCATGAATTATACTTCATTGCCTTTTAATAATAGGATACACAGTCATCGTGCAAGAACTCTAAAAAGCATGTGTCATATGAAAAGGAGAAAAAAACATTATATATCAACGAAACACATTATTTTATTTATGTTATAGCATATGATTTAATTATTAATATTGTCCTTAAAAAAATACTTATAGTCTATTCATATTTTAACATATTAATTAATTAAACACCAAGTGCGCATTAGTCCTAGTAGTGTAAAAATATAATTATAAAACTCATAATTAAGGGAAGAAAGTCAAGCAAATTGTTATTAATTTATAGGTAAGAAAAAGTTTAAGGAGAAAATACGGATGATTTTTTAAAGTGATATTGATAATATATGAACCTAGGTCGTGGTGTTAGGCACGAAAAGGGGTTTTCACTTCCAGATGCAAAGAAATATGTACCTTATTTAACCACTGTCTTAAAGTTAAAGATGTGAGCAGTTTATGAAAAACATGCATCAACTTGCAAATTTTGAAAAACATGCATGGCTACTTTCAAATTCTTTGCAAATAAAATATGAATTAGATACCATTAATAATATGAAAGCCTTTTTAATTTCAACTAAGCAGAAAAACAAGTAGTGGAACCTTCGCTTGCCTTGGTTCATGTTGCTTACCCACTTAGTCGATAAATTTTATATACACTCAGTTGCATATATATATTTTAATGTGTACAACACTCATCTCATATGCAATCAATTAAGCAGTTACATCTAAAGCTTTCTCCTCTCTAGTGGCCATATTTTGCTACTCTTCTCATTTGTAGAATATGGGTGAACTAATAGAAAGGTTTCATAGTTGGTCCATCGACCCACTTGTCGATCAACATTAAAATTATCTTATGCTTAACTACGTGTACAGTTCAATAAGTATGTAATTTTATGTAATAGACATCGTTGCAATTAGTAGTTAAACCGTTAAATATAAGCGGGACTGAATTTCGTCTAGTTTATAATGTGAGACTTTACATGACTCAAGAATTGCCCCAAGTGAAATTTGTATCCATCTTATAATATTTTCAAGCGTAGTGATGTCCTGCACACCCATTTTTACTTCTTAAACCCTCTTTTTCTGACTGTCGGATTGAATGAATTAAAGAAGACTAATGGTAAAAAATTAACAAAAATATGTGTAAAGTAAAAATAAATAAATGTGTGAATGGAACTTTCTTATTTCCAAGTGCAGATTACCAATGTCCTTCAAAAAGATATGGGCTTGGGGAAGCAAGGCAAAGCAACCGAAATGAAACTGTAGATTTTCTCTGCTGCACATATGGGTTGTGCGGATCGTGTGCGCATGACCCGGTCACAATTAAATCCAAGCCCTCCATTTGTATAACACAAAAGATCTGGGAGGGCTATATTTCCCATCAAGCCAATCCTAAGCCAACCTTCTATTTAGGTAAGGCCTTATGACGGCCCAACATTAGTTTTAGGATTTTTCTTTCATCTTCTTTGTATTGAACATTTTGCTGGGTTTTTTTTAAAACGAAGGACAGGATAATTGAACTTGAAACATTGAACATAAAAGTACAAAAAATTGATACAATCAGTTGCATATGTAAATCGTGATACAACAATCAAAATCAGATAGATTATGACTATAACACAACACATGTATAAATTTAGGTATGATATTGTATATGATGCGATCGTCTCTCTCTCTCTCTCTCTACTTCCACCCCAAAAAGCCCTAAAACCTTGTCTGTCATATTCAATTAGGCCAAATTAAGAAGTTAACCTCACATAGGTGGCATGTAGCCATCTAATATTAATTAAACTAAAGGACCAAAAGCTACTCGTGCACTAATATTAAGTACTTAACAGGATTATATAGCAGCTTAACTTTTATCTCTTGGAGGCTTCCCAATGTTTTAGGACAGCTAACCTCTAATTAACCAAATTCCCCGAACAAGACAAACTCTCGTGCAAAATGATGTATACTACAACAATAAAATTGGAGGCTGGAGCTTACCTTTCCCTAATTTCTTTATGTTTTTCTGGTTCTATGCTTAGATTATCATACACTCAGTACATGACATTCGGTTTTAAAAACTCAAATAATTTGAAATAGATGACAAGAAAGGAAAGAATAGGTCCAAGAAATGATCTAGTATTTGCAGAGGTTACGCTAGTTGGTCACGAAAATGGTCAAGGTTTCAAATGAATACAAGGAATAATCTACATGAATCAAAGATCTTGATGTAATTACAAAAGTTACGCTAGTTAGTCACGACAGTGGTCTAGTTTCTTACAATCAAGTTCGTATCTTCTTCTCCGTGTATAGCATTATACATCGTTTTATCAAAAGAAAAGAAAATAGTCTTGTTTTTTTGAAGTAATATTATAGACTAGATTTCTATACCATAGTACATAAATTATATTTTTTGTGCTGGACGAAGTGTAACTTGAAACTTATCTTAATCTTTCCTACGCAATGTAATTGCGAATTCTAGACTCCAACTGTCCGATTATGGCCTCGTAATTTTTACAAGATTGCACGTAATTTTCTCCTCAGCATTTTCTACAGCATCGTATGTCCAAGTACACGTGGCAATATATGAAGAAATTAACAACGTTTCTTCTCAGAAGATCATCCACTACGCAATGTGATTGGCCCCCATTCACACACGCCTTATTCATTCGTCCAAATCCATCCATATAACTTAATCCCAACAACAAATCCCACGTGCGGTATTACCTGTCCTCCGTTGACGTGTCACCACCCGAACACCCTCGATGACGCCAAAACCCCTCCCCAATCCCGAAGCTCTGATCCCCTGCCTCCCACCCCACACCTGTCACAACTTGCCAGACAATCCAAGTGGTATATTCACGTGACACTCACGTGGATATCCGAAAACGTGTGAAGTGGGCCAATTGGGTCGCTCACACGGAGTCGTTTAAAACGCGGGGTTGGGAGTCGTATGGGGATCTCTTGAGAGACTCGGCCATGCATAAAGCTTATAGAAAACCACAGCTGTCGTTGTTACCCTATAAAGAAAGACTCCCATTTCTTTAATTTCCTTTACAACTCAATTCATAAATATTCGTACCTTTTCATCACATGAATTCATTGAAGAAGCTGAATCCGTCGCCGGTCGCCTTGTAACTTGTTGGCTATCTTATACATACGACCAAAGGTCATCAGGTTTTGAATTCGACTGACGTCTGGTTGAATCAGCGTATCATAATTACCGGCACAAGATGAAGTGGTCGCCGTGGCCGTCAGGCGGAACAAAGAGGTTTCACGTGAAGGTGAGCCAGCTGAAGCTGCAAGGGTTTAATTTTGAGAAGGAGAAGGAGAGTGTTGGTGTGATTGAGGTGAAATGGAAAGGGTCTAAGCCTGGAGGGCCTGGAGTTTTGGTTCCATTCTATGGAAGAAGATCGTCGAGGCAGCCGAAAAACTACACCAGCCAGAGATTTTTGAGTCGTCAAGTCATTGAATGGGATGATGAATTTCAGAGCCTCTGTAATTTTGGGTCGAAGCAAGGTGGGAACTTTAGTCCCTGGGATTTGACTTTTACCCTGTTACACGTAAGTTTCTAATCTTTGATCTTTTAGCATTAGTGGGTTTGTGTTTGTTTTTTTTATATAAGCGATGTTCTACTTTAAACTATTCGAATTCGGGTGTACGGTTGAGCGCATCCGCTCAATCGGATTTGGTTCTGCTTCTGGTTGTTGAATATTTGAAATTGATTATTCTTCTGCGTTTGTGATTTTCAGGGAGAGAGTGCGGAACAAAAGAGTAATATGGCGGTTTTCGGGACGGTTTCGTTGAACCTAGCAGAATTGGCATCGACAATGGAGTCTCAGATTCAGAGGAAGCTCTCTGTTACTTTGAAAATGGAGGGGACGACTCCCAGCGAAGCTACCCTTTTGGTAAATTAACTTCATTTTTTTTTAGTCAAAATTTTTTATTTACTCAAGTTAATTAATTGCAAATTTACAGACACGATTAATGGTGTTTTCAGTTATTTAGTCATATCTAATTTTACCCAAACATACAAAGTTGCATTTCTTAAGCGTAAATGAATGGGATAAGCCGCTTTTATTGGAACATGAAAGCTATATGCTTAATTAGCTGTTTTAAATCCAATTTAAGGCAATGCCCGTTTATTACATCATCTGTTCTTAATTGGGTAATATTAATAACCAGAATTATTTTTCCCTTCATTTTTTTTCTTCATCTTTTCGTTTCACTATTGGTAACACCAGCATAACATCATAACACATAGGGGATGCACATATCCCCTTACTTGCGAAAAACGTATATTGACTGAAGGTTTCGATTATAAATTATATGGCCAAAATACGTATTCGGAAGAATGCAAGTATGATCCTTAAATTAATAAGCGCCTCATTTTATTTCTTTGTAAGCTTATGGACTTTCAATGTTTGATGGTGCCCGCAGGTTTGTCTAAGCTTTGCTGAGGTGAGAAACTTGCATGACTCGGCAGCACTCGGTCAAGACTCGACCGAGTCAGATAAGGGCAAGTTGGTTCGAAGAGTAAGCTACTTCAGGAGCTTTAGGAAGTCAAGCAATGAGAGGAAGAGTCGTGAGGACCGAGGCATGAGTGACCGGGAGGAGTCATTCTTGTCCGACTCAGAAGGGTCACCGGGGAATGGACTCGTTAACAGTGGTGTCAATGCAGATTTGAGTTCAAAGGGAGAGTCAGGATCGGTCCTGAGTCATGAGACTCAGTTTGACTCGGGGCAGAAGAGTTGGCTCTCGAGGAAGAGGAAGTGGTTGAATGGAAGACCACCTAGGAGAAAAGTGGAGCCCTTTGTTGAGAAGACTAGTAGGGACAATGCAGTGCAAAGTTTCCGTTGACAACAATCTCAGTGATTCTATAAAGGTATTAAGTCCATTTCGTATTGTTTTCATAGGAAGCATTTTTGCCCATAAACACTTTTGTTAGAAGTGTTTTTATTAGAAGAACGTCAAGTTCTTTTGCTCAAAAGACCAGTGCACTTCTCAAAAAATCACATCTAAGACTCATCAGCACTTTTAGATTTTTTTCGCCTAACGTCCTGAAAAGCACTTACGGTTTTCAGAATACACTTCCAGCCTGTTCAATGATTCTTACTAATAAGACAAAAGGCTCATTTGGGTTTACTTTTCTACAGATATCAAATTGTACTGCTGAATATTCTTCACAATCAGATCATGAGCATGGAAAATGCACCACAAATTGCTGGGAAGAAAGGGAAGTAGAAAGCAGAGATGGGCAAGCAAAGCTCAAAACCAATGCGTTCTTTGCAGTCCTTTGATCAACGGAGTGAAAAGGTCGCCGGAGAGAGTGCCTGCACAGCCCTTGTTGCGGTCATCGCGCACTGGCTGCATTCGCACCAACACTCAATGCCTACAAGATCCAAATTCGACAGCCTCATCACACAAGGTTCCTCAGAGTGGCAAAAACTCTGCAGCAACGAGACCTACATAAATCTATTTCCAACAATCACTTCGACCTTGAAACGGTTTTGGAAGCTGATCTTAGACCTCTTGGTGTCTCGCCTGAGAAATCCTTTATCGGATTCTTCAGCCCGGAGAAGTTCGAGAGCTTGAAGGGACTCATGTCGTTCGACGACATATGGAATGAGATAGATAAAAACAGAGAGCTTTACGAACCGAGGATATACATAGTAAGTTGGAACGACCACTTTTTCGTGCTGAAGGTTGAAGCTGATGCATACTATATCATTGACTCTTTGGGTGAGAGGCTCTTTGAGGGGTGTAACCAGGCATACATACTAAAATTCGACGATTCGAGCATCATGCATGGGAAAACAGAGAAAGCAGAGGATGATTCAGAGGAAAGATTAGAAGTAATATGCAGTGGAAAAGAGTGTTGTAGACAGTTCATTAAAAGATTTCTTGCTGCCATACCACTTAAGGAGCTTGAGGAGGAAGAGGAAAAGAGTGCAGTTCCTATTTTACCTCTTCACCGGCGTTTGCAGATCGAGTTCCACTACACCTCCTGCCTCCTCCTCCTCCTCCTTCTCCTCTTCTTTGTCGACCTCTGCTACTTCTTCCACTTACTCTCTCTCATCAGGTGAAGACTAGAAATCAAGTAGCAGAATTGTATAGAAGGGTTTTTGATTCCTTAGCATTTAATGATACTATTGAGACTAGGTAGAAATTTCAATGAGACTCCCACTTCGTGGCATAATCTTGAGAAGAACTTACATACAACAAGAAAGTCAAGATGACGGTATTATAAACTAATTCGTTTAAACACATGATAAGACGTGATAAACTTAAGATGTTGTCACCCTCGCGTCCTTAGAGAATATGCCAATATACTGAAACAAAGAAAGAATTGCATATGTTTTGACCCCACCAAATGACTGAAGGGAGGGGACACAAAAGATTAGCCACCACTTGTACAAAGTGGCAGTTGCAAACAAAGAATAATTACTTGGGATAATACAAGTATTAAAGAGACAAATTTCTTGTCCCCCACTCACTCACACAAACAAGATCCCCATCCCTTCTTTCTTACTCAAAATCAGAAGGTGGGTCCATACCCTTATCTGTGATGACTAATGATTCAAAGATTAAAAGTTTAGGTTTGAGGGGGAGTGTCCTCCCTTTGACATAGATCCCATACCTGATCTCCAAACAAACCCGAACGGGAAACACGTCCTTGCACCGGTGCATTAAACGCGTCTCACATTTGCTACATCATGTAAGCGGCACATAACAAAAAAGAAAGATTCATTTGGATTGACGAGCATTTTCAGGCCCAAAACTAAGAACCAATGGAATGTCCGTCTAAGCTACCAAATGTGAGACAACTGTTTCATGCAACGAGTGCATATCCAGAACATTCCAATGAATCTCTAACTCACAACATCAGAATAGGTTTAGGGGAAGGGTAACTCCAAACCCAAAGCTTCGTGATGTTTTAACACCGTACAGTACATAAAGTTCTATGTTCTCAAAAGCAACATGTATGGCATACCACTAATTGTACATTGCAGATCAGAAGTCCATTCACTCATCTAGTCTGTGCTTTAATTCACAATTTACATTACGTCTCTTAAAACACTACATCAGCAGCTCAGTTCATTACCAATCTAGGAACTAGAAAGTACATCGAGATTGCATAACGAAGCTTTTGGCAAAACATATTCGCTAAGCCAATGTCAAGATAATGAAAAACTAACTTTACTAAAGCAACAGTTAGTCTACCAACCTCCATTCCTCATGCTTCCATTAAAGTGGCTGAAAGGAAGCTCCGGCTGCCTACAAAATTTTGAATCCTCTGTTGGCTGATTAAAAGCTGCCTTCCGCTTTCTCATTGCTGCTTGGACATATAAATCTTCGCCCTCAAAACTCAACCTACCCCATGAGTCTGTTGGTCCATACTCACTACCCTTAGCAGTGAGAGAAAACTGTTTATCAAATTGCGGTGACTGATCACGACACTTCAACCGTTCCTCAACGCCAACATCTTTGCCCTCCTGGGGCTGACTGTTCTCACCGCTTGGGAGTTGATTAGAGTGTGGGCCTAACCGCAGAGACAAATCACAACCAATCAAACATGGGTTCTCATGGTAGTCCCTTCTTTCTGTTTGTGTGTTATTATTTGATTTACCTCCATTACAGAGCAGGTTTGGGATAACTCCTATCTTGGCAGGTTCTAAGGGGTCAGAAACTGGTTTGGGAAGGACAGCAAAACCTGGTTTCGGTTCTTTGAACTGAGGAAGATTTCCATAGTACAGAGGGTATTTAGGAAAATTAAATGTTGCCAGATTTTCCCTAGAGAAACATGGGTCATAACCCGAAGGAGGAACATTTTCGGATGCAACCATGAACTTCATAGTATTGCAGTCGTTATATTGGGCAACAGAGCATCTAGGTTCAAAAACAAGAGGGGTTGAATTAGTGGTTTTGGGGTTAACAAAATTTGAACAATGTGGCCTATACTGCAAATTGGACGTGTAATCTTTTTTATTAGCATCCTCTACCACACTAGGAGAAATGCTAGGGACATGCGAAGTCACGGACATCAGATAACACCCTGGGTTAGTATTCCGTTGACTCCTCGTAGCTCTTCTCGCTATGCACCCCAAAATGAGAGCAGCTGGGTTGTTTTACAAAAAAAATTGAGAGGTCAACACAGATGTTTATACTTTATTCACAATGGAAACTAACAGTTTATTAAGTGGAGAACTACATATGCACATTCCGAAACAAATACTAAACAATAGCAAGAAATTATGCAATCCAAATTTGTTGTAGATACCTTCAATACAAGGCTGAAGAAACTCTCCAGTTTCAGTAGTCTCATCACGCCGAATTATCGTGTTAATGGCATCATTTGTTCTGTCCCAAAGGGTTTTAAGGTCCATGTATTCTGCCTATAAAACAACATAAATTGCAAAGCACAACACTTTAAAAGAACCAAATAAGTAAAATCCAGTATTATACAACACAGCTCTGTTTCTCCCACTCAGAGAATGCAGAAAGTAGAAATAAAGAAAAAATTTAACTTTTAATCTCAACCTAGTTAGTATTTAGATTAAAAAGTAAAAAGTGATAAAGATTACCTCAGAATTGGCTTTGGAGTACATAATTTCTTCAGCTTTGAGAACAACAATTGGGAGCTTCTCTTGCCATTCTTTGTTCTTCTTAGTAGCTGAGCTATGGATCTCGTTCACAACCCTAATTAAGCAAAAGCACTTATAAGTGATTACTGAATAAGTTAAACATTTCAAAACCCCATAGAAAAGAAAATAATAAAAAAAACCAAAAAATTAGACATGCAAAAATTGAGAGTTGGGGGAACCTGAAGATTTCTTTGATGAGAGAACCTCTCATGGGTTGGTGCCTCTCACGGTGCCAAGCTCTTCTCACACATTCATATGGTCTTGGCCCTGATCTTGGCATCCTCTCTAACCAATTCTAGAGAGAGAAAAAGAGAGTTGGGTTTAGACTTCAGAGAGAGAAGCAAAAGTGAAGCAGCTTCTGTGGGAAGTTGGGAACTTGAGGCAGCTTCTGGTTGTGACTTTTCTTGCTAGACTGTGAGACTCTCCCTCAAAGACTTCTCCTTTTCAAGGACACTGACTGACCCAAAATGCAGTTCCACCAAGACTACGAGTAGAGGAGAGAGAAAGAAGAGAGAGAGAGAGAGAGAGTTTTGTTTGTATTGCTTTCTTTATTATTTTTGTTTGGGGTTTTTCTGTAGACTCAATAATTTCAAAGGGAGAGTAGGGTTGGGGTTTGAAATTGAATTGAGGGAGGTGGGGGGTTTGGGTGTGTCCCCCACTCATCCACATGCCTGCTTCCCCTCACCCCAGGTGTCCCTCTCTCTCTCTCTCCCCCCCCCCTCTCTCTCTCTCTCATGTCCGTGTCTGTGTTTAGGTGTATCCATTCATGAGTTGAGACTTTCTGATAAGTATTTGTCAGTGTCGGTCGTCACCTTTAATTAAGCAACCCCAACCTCACACAGTTGCTAACATTGGCCGTCCATCCTTTCCAATCCAATTCCGAAAAACCTGCTCTACTCTCTCTAGTCGCTAACAACTCATCATGAATTTAAATCTTGTTACTTTACCCAATAAAAGTGAATTGAAACAAAATTAAAAAGTTCAATCTTTCAAGGTGGAATGAGAAAATAGAAAAGACAATCAACTTACATTGTGACGTGATTATGTTCTCGATATTATGTGAAAAAAAATTAAAACATATTATAACGTGTTTGTCAATAGCGATTAGACTAATTAGTAAGAGTGGTACATGTGTGTTACATCCATTTCTTCTATTTGGTATATTAGACAAAATAAATAACAACGTATGATGTGTTATGAGACACGACCACCTAAGTGAAGATGGAAAATAAATTTCGACGCATTACCACCTTAGTATACCGCTTCATGTCTATCACTGCACGTAACAAGTCTAACGACTTGAGCATTATAGGGTTCTTATTATTATTATTTTTTTTCTTTCTTCAATTGTAATTGCACTTTGCTTCCAACAATCACCTCCTAAAGCAAAGGACCGAACATCAAATGTCCATTTACCACAATGATAAAAATAAATTGTACCCTTACATGACTGTGTGAGTTCAAAAATGTTGGTAACTAATCGAGCATCTAATCAAACAAAATAACGAAAAACAGGAAAAAAAAAAAAAAGCAAAGGACCGAACAAATTAGACGACCAACGAGCCCAAAAACAAAATGGCCCGCAACAGAACAACCGCAAAGCTGCCCAGGGAAAAACAACGGGAGACCCAATCCCACACAACATGGGCCAGTGAAACTTTGATATATTATTGAGGGGAATTTTTTTTCAATATAAACGATATTATTATTTTAATCAGGATCGAGTTTTATGACGTAATAAGTTTAAAAAAAAATTGGCTTAACTGCTAGGACAATCACGGCAGTGCACTTAGTTTTATACAATTTTTTTTTTTTGGCAAATGAGGTTGATGTTTTAGGTTTTTAAGAATGGGCTCAATTGTTTAATGGTCTTTCGCTTACTACTAAGTAAAGATTTTAGCTTTGATTTCCGTCAAAAGAAAATTTGAATTACATTATTGTTAGTCCATGAGGTTTAGCCCATTCTCCACTCTGTTTGTGTAGACAGTTACAGTTGTTAAAAAAAAAGTGTTATTACAACCGATTGTTATATAAAAAAAACGTGAATATAAGTCGTTTGATGCATCCAAACACCTACTAAAGAACCTAACTCCTCACCAAACCCTCCTCAATATGGCCACTCGGGAGGGCCAACGTAGTAGGAAAAGAAAAATAACTCAAAAAATAGTTGTAAATTTGTAATACAATCTTGCAAGGCTTAGAAGAATACTGGATTAAGCAAATAATTTGTAGCTTAGTTGGTTAAAAGAATTCGCCTTTATATTTGAGATTCTGTATTCAAATCTTTGTAGTTTAAATATATTTAATATAAATTATATTATTTATAGAAAACAAGACTAAATTAATATGCATAATAATTGCATACGGACAAAAGTATTTATACTAATTATAACCAAGTTTTTATAGGAGGTTATTGTTTCAATGTATAGAAACATAAAATAAAGGTAATTATCATCTCTAATATTACAGGTAGGAATTTAAAGTATTTTATCTATAATATGTAAAAAAAAAAAAAGTGTAGCAAAAAGATCCTTATAATTTATTGCAACTAAAAGCTAAATAAAAAAATATAAAAACTATCCAAGAACTTCAGGTTGCCTCATATATTCATCCTCAGTCTGTTTTGGTTTATTTTATTTTATTTTATTTTTTTCGAAATTTCAACACGTAAATGTAATGACATTACCCAAGTCTATAATTGTAGAAATTAAGAAAACATCATATTAACCTACAATAAATTCATAAACTGTAAGTTTCATCAGAAGTCTGGTACCAAGAAACCGAGTGCAATACAATCGAATGTAATACTCAAATAAACAAAAGAGCGACCGACGTTCCTCCACCAACTACCCATTACAAAATATGCATAAAAAAAAAGTCGCTGATCAAAAGTCCAAGCAACAAATGAGAATATTTTCGAGCAATGCAACCATGTAAATGAAGAACGAAAAAGACCGTGATCAATTACTCTGCTGCTCCCTTTTTGTGATCCATGTATTTCTGTTTGAATGCTCCACTAATTCATTGCACCAAAACCTATTTAACCAAAAAGAAATGAGGAGAATGTATATAAGGAATTGATATTAGTAATGCAAACCACTAAATGAAACGCATATATACCCACTACCGATTAATAGTCCAAGTTTGTAGTCCCTATTTAAGCTTGCCAAAATGAAACACAAAATGAATTATGGTAAGTATACATATATGCACGTCCAAGTTTGTAATCCCTACTTAAGCTTAACAGGACCAAAACGATTGAGGTTGAGAAATAGGAATAAAAGATTAAGAGTTGAAAAGTTGTACCAAGGAAGACTCTGTCTCGATATGTTTCACCTCTACCTCGCCCTCATTTTCTTCACCTTGATTTCTGTAATGAACGGAGAAACAATCCGCTATTAAAAAAATCTATGCGTGCAAGAAGTTCTCCATAAAGAAGAATGCAAAGAGAATGGTTTCAAAATGACAGACATCTTTTGCTCAGGATTTCTCTTGTCAAACATTTTTTTAGTAGAAAAAGTTTACCAAGCATCATGATGGTTTTTCTCAGGCATTTCATTAAATCATACACATTAAATAAAACATCAAATATCAAATAAACCAAATATTGGACTTGTCGCTTCCAGTTGCCATGGAAATCAAGTAGTCACTTCCCTTCTCTATGTTTATCTGGGTAACTTTCTTTCTGTATAGACCCATAGTTGCTATCTGATACATAAAAAAGAAAAAATAAAATAAAAGAGACGATAAAAACATGAAAATATAGAGCAGGGGATGAAGAGAAAAGGTTTTCCCCGAAAAATCTGACCATACCAATTTGATACGTGGGTAGTGTGCCAAAGAGAAACCAAAAAATGAAACACAGAGGAATTGAATTAAATTCCGATAAACTCCCAAAACAATTATATGGCATAGATAAACTTAAATGAAATCAATAAAAAGTGGAGAAAGGAAACCGGCTTCACCCACACAATCCAACATATATCCATCCAGTTGGTTGAGAAGCTTTAGCATAAGGAGAAGGAAGACAGAAAATCATATTAGAAAACTTAAATCTATGCAACCATAAGTCGAATCATTGAGTGATCCACAATCAAGATTTTTGCAGCATATAAACGTAAAACATGTATTGAAAAGTTCCAAGACACTCCAAAAAGCTATTGTTCCTTGGTTTCTTCTAGATTCCATTCCCAAGAGCACCAGATTTGCACACATGCCTTAGACCATCGAATAGTATGAATATATTTCCAAACTCTATGAAGAACAAACCGACCTAAAATATAGCAATAAATTGACTAATCCAAATGAAAGAAAAACTCGATAAAGCAAAGTATGACAACCCAAAATAATTAAGAGTGATACCTGATTAGTTGCATTGCACCAACAACAGCAAAGGTACTCTGCTGCTCCCATTTTGTGATCCATGGAATTTTTCATTTTTCAAAGCTTCGACTTTTTAGTCCCAATCCTTTTCACTAATCTGCAAGGAACAAAGAAAATGATAAGAGTGAAAAATCAGAATTGGACTTGGGGATTTTCCGTGGCTATGTAGATGCCCAATCTTTTTAACATACACAAATTAACGACAAGAAAAAAAAAAAAAAAAAAAAAAAACCCTTGTTTTTAAAATTGGGAAGTTGGGTACCTGGAGAAGATGGCAATGAAGGCAGCGGCGGTGTAGGTGGAGGAACACGGCCCGGAGATTGGACTCCTGAAAATGAGCGCCCGGGATCGAAGATGTGAAGAAGGATGGGTTCCAAGACGCGTCCCGGAGTCTGGTTCTGAAAGATGAGCTCTTTTCAGGCGCGTTTACTAATCCGTAATCATATTGAGAAGAATTGAATTGAGGATGAATTAGATTGAAGAGGAATTGAAATGAGTTGGAATCAGAATCAGATTCCTGTTGAAGTTGTTTACTAAAATTGTCTGGAATCGGAGTAGCAATGATGTTGAGTCCATATAAGTTGTTTACTAATTCACTTGAATCGGCATAAAAATCAATATGATTACTAAAATACCATTGTTCTATTTTGTTTTATTTCATCCGTATATTTATTTTTAATAACATTTTAATTTGTTTTATTTCAAGCCTTTATTCCAAAAAATTAAAATTGTATACAAATTTATTGAATTACCAATATTAAAATATTAAACAATTTAATAATGCTCTTATTCAAACCCAGTTGAATAGAAGTATAGAACGCTTCTCCTCTCTCTGCAAGTCTGCATACCATTCCTTTCCTGACCCTCACCTCCACCTTCCCCATACACCCTACCCCATAGCCACCACCTCTTCCACCTGCGAAGTATTTCATGATTTATAGGGATTGCTTCCACGTATTTGTGGGTTTGGATTTGAATTGTTTATTTTTTTGGGTTTGGGTGGTTGATTTTGAATCCGATTTGCGAGATACATGGCTAGGGTTCTTAAGCTAGTGGGATGGGAAGTGAAGCACGATCACACAGGGAGGTGGCAATTGGAAAGTAAGGCGCAGACGCATGAAAGCAGGGTGCGCAGGGAGTGGTGGGCTAGTGGGTTGAGTGGCAGACTTGAAATTTTAGAAATAATGAGAGGGTCATAACAGGTATAAAAAATAC